CTCGCTGGTGGGGTGGGGTGAGAGGCAGAAAAGACCTTGACTCTGTGTCAGCACTGCTCAGCAATTACTAAAACATCTCTGTGTTATCAACAGTGTTTCCAGCACAAATCCAAAACAAAACCCCATCCTAGCTTCTATTAAGAAAAATAACTCTATCCCAGCCAAAACCAGCACAGAGGTGGAAGTCCCATCGGTGAAATCAGTCCCCTGATTTGCCTCATACATCCAAATGCTGCTTTGCGCATCCAGGCAGTTCAGTGCTAAGCTGCAACAATTTATTTTGCAGTCTGCAGGTGGGTTGGTTGTTGCAAGCAATTTGTAGGACAAAACAGGAAAGATTATAGTAGTGGGATGCTGCGTGGAAGCTTAAGTACATGGAAAATTTTTCATTAGTTCTGAGGTTTAATAGGAAAGTGCCTTTTATTTTTGTTTAGAATAGTATAACAACTTGGCCAATAAGGCAGATTGAATACATGTAAAGGAAAAAGCATGGAAATGCTTGGCTGCCTGTATAGCCCTTTCTGAAATCCTGTCGTGGTTTAACCAGGACAAATCCTCAGAGCTTGTTGATACTACACCATTTTAAGAGGAGCCATTTAACCAAAGTTGAGTTTAATCAATTATATGCTGCATTTCCAGATACGTTGATGTGTGTGCGTGTGTACGGAAATAATGATCACGCTTCCTGCAGACAACAGTCTCAGCTATTATTTTTCCACCCAAATCTGGCTTACAGCATAGCAATGTAGCAAATCTGCTACAAATGCTTGGCACTGATACTTGATTCAAAGCCTTTCTGGTGCTGATATGTCATTATGAACCTGCTGTGATTATTACTGTGTATCTTTCCACTGCTCTCAGTTGCACAGTGCAGTACGAGTGGAAAGGATTGAGTCAGAACTCAGCCTCTAGCCAAGAGAGGATGCTGTGTTACTTGGTGTGACCAAGGAAAGCGATGCCCTAGGGCTACAAGTGATCAAGGAGGGAGGCAGACAGATGGTGCCACTGAAAATGAGATCAGCTGACAGAGGTAGCAGGACCTCTCCGAACACAGACCCCAAGTGCTGGGGCCAGGTGGAGCCGTCCCTTGGGAGGAAGGGGCAAAAAGGCAGTTCTCCAAGAGGCAGATGCTAAGAGAGGCTGAAGAGATGCTGGTACATGTGGGCAGGCCAAGAAAAATACAATCACCTGAATACTTGGCTAGGGATGGAGGCCAGAAGCAGCAGAAAAAGAAGGACGGAATAAGATGTAGGAGGATCTTCATATGGTGCCATTAGGTTTTGTGCAGTCTGTTGCACACTGGGGGATGTGGCATTCCTCCAGGCCCTTCTTTGCTTTTTTGGTGTGTGTATTTCAAAAACTCCTTTTAAATCTGCTCCACGTGAAACGTTTTAATTTCTGGAATCTTTTCTATGTTTGTTTTGAAATTAAAAAAAAATAGCGTTGAAGGCAGGTTGAATTGATTTAGTCATGGGACTTGGGCACGGCACAATTCCCAGCTTGCGCTGTTCAAGCACAGGGATGCTGATTGAAACGCCCCCGATTGGCACAGGGGTATACAGCCCAGAACCACATCTCAACTGTTCACCCTAAGCCAGCATTTTTGCCAAGAAGCCACCATTCACTGGTAAGTGCCTTCATCATACAAGCCACACAGAGAAATAATTAAGCTTTATAGAAGCTTCATCCTCTAAATATAGGTGAAATTGACCCTAAAACACAGCTAGTCACTGAGAGCAGCTAAAAAAGGGATTTTCACAGTGGTGGTAATCCATGCCCTCTGCTCTTAGATAAAGGAATTGTGCTTACAAGCAGATTGAATGAGGTCGCTAGCAAAGCTGGTCTGTAAACAGTTATCCTCAAATTAGTGATATTGTTTAGCTTTAAAGTGTCTGATATATCCTGAAACTGATGAGGTGACGTATGGAAATATCTTCAGGTCATCTGTGTGCTGTTCCTGTCATCTGATTGCTCTGGAGGGCTGATTTTAGCATAGTCTTATTTTCGTGGTCCTCTAAGGGGTAAACTTTGAAAATGCTAATACTGGGATCACAGCAAAGGAATCAGAAGTGCACTTCTTAAAAAATGTAAATGCTTTGTCTTTTCTGAAGGCTTCTACAGTTTTATCTTTTGAGCAGAAGCACACTGTAAAGTATTAAATTATTCCTGGGCTGAATGGCAGCCATTGCAGATGCAAAGTGGTAGCCTAAGCTTGCTATGAAATTTAAAATCCATTTGGGCTGTTCATCAGCCTGGAACAGATTTAGAAAAGCATATGAATACACATGTCCACTGTTGCCTGAAGCTTTGATGGATTCAGTGAGCATTCGCCCGTAGAAAAGCAGTTCAGGTTTTTCGGTCGCAGAGCTTAGCTATCCTGTAGTCTATCAGATGATCAAGGCTTACTGAAAAGAACTGCTGCTCAAAGGTGTTCTGTTCAGGTACATGAGCCTGGGGGTAGGGAAAGAGAAGTTGTTTAAAAAAATAAAAAAAATCCCTCTACTGAACTATTGGGGAAAGGAAAAGACAGGAAAATTTGTATAGTGTGAAGATTAAGGTATGTTCTTTTCCCCACCCACAAGAGCAAGTAATCTCATGCTGGGGCATGGTGCAGTCATGTTCGTAAGGAGTGCGACAGTCTCCCTGTGCTGT